TACTATAAAATATTTTTTCAAGACAGGTTTTTCCAAACGCGACAACTTTTTCGCATGACTGTAATCGTGTTTATACTTTTGTATAATTTATTGTTAAAAACAGAAAAAATACAAAAAAGTCTTTATTAAAAAAACTCAAGAATAATGTTTGGTTTTGAAAACAATGACATTTGAATTTAAATAATAAAAACAGTTTTAATTTTAATCCAAAATATAAATATATAAATTTATTATGTTGAACTAAAAAACAAAATATGGAATACGAAAATACAGAAGCTTATTTCTTCGATGAGTTTGTATATATATGAATACATTACTACGTCCAATTACATTCATTTACTATTATTAATGTATTATGATTAAAATTTATTTTTCAATTACAATAAATTTATTATTAAAATACGACCAACAAGAAAATAAGTATTAAACAAATAGAACAGAAGAAACTATAAAAGAGGAACTCGAAACGTGCAACCCTGACATTTTAGAATCAATTGTTATAAGAGAGTGCAATATACCCAAACTTCCCGACTTACATTTATTTACAAAAGTCACTCAATTAAATATAGAATCAAATGCAATTACTGAACTTCCAGAGTATTTGAACTTACTTCCTTTAGACAGTTTAGACATCTCCTTCAATTCGTTTAAAGGGAAATTCGATGTTTCCAAATTTAAAAAATTAAAAGTATTAGTAATTACCCAGAATCAAATAGAAGAGCTTATTCTTCCCGACGCCATCGAGTTTCTTGTTCTATCTAACAATCCGATCAAACAATTTATATACACTGGTAACTCTTTAAAATCCTTAAGAGTAGATTCAATTGATTACCTTGAGCTTTCCTGTCCAAATCTTGAAAAGTTGATATCGATACCCAGGGTTATAAAAATAGGGCAGCAGGTGTGTTATATTCATTACTTTAATACCTTTTAATATACAATTTATAATAAATAACATATTATTAATATACAGCATCTGCTTGACATATCTTTAGCGCATTACCCCGAGATATCGACATATGATTTTACTCCCTTTTTGTATCTTGAGTCTTTATGTCTGTCTGCATGTGAACTCGATGACTCTTCTTATTCGACTCTTTTATTCAAAAACGACTCTTTCAGGTCTTCCCCAAATCTCAAAGTGATCGACTTAACAAGAAATTATTTAACAAAAGTCCCGGAGTATCCACCTTCCCTAGTCAATCTGTGTATGGACTTTAATCTTCTCTCTACACTTCAAGTCGATAAAGACTGGAAGAATTTAAAGACCATTTCGTTGACTGGGAATGACTTGTCTTCATCAGTTATTGAGTGTTTACAAATGAAGCTCTCGGTGTCCACATATGAAGCTGATGAGGTGTCTGAGATTGAACATGGGATATATCTTGGCTCACTCGCAAATGCAAGCGATCAGTTCTTACTTGCGCGACTTGAGATCAAATGGATACTTTCTGTGTGTGACGTGGTACCTTTCTATCAAAGAAAATATCGCTACAAAACAATCAATGTATTGGACATGCCAGAGACTAACATTTTGGAGTATTTCGATGAGGGCACTTCCTTTTTAGAAGAAGCTCAAAAGAAGGGAGAAAACGTCTTAGTTCATTGTATGGCCGGCGTAAGTCGATCCGCTTCTATCATCGTGGCTTATATCATGAAAACGAAAAAATTAAGTCGAGACCAGGCTATTACTTATGTCAGAACTAAAAGGCCTATTATTCAGCCAAACAATGGCTTCATGTCTCAATTATATCAATACCAAATGATACTCGAAAATATTGAAAATGAAAAGAAATGTCACAATGAAAAAGTTACAATAAAAGAGGTAAAAACGTCAAATAAAGGAGAAAAAAAAGAAGATTGTCAGCTCGTATAAAACTAAATTTTTTTAGTTTATATTATAGTTTATATTATAGTTTATATGATAGTTTATATGATAGTTTATATGATAGTTTATATTATTTACATTTAATTAATAATGTTATAATTTAAAATACTATTATAATGTTATAATTATATGGTTTAAATAATTTAATGAGTTAAGTCTTTTTTAGTTTTATTTTAATAGTTTTGAGATTTGACAGAAAAAAAAAGTTATCGGAAAACAAATAAAAAACAACTGAGTAATTTTAGCATAAAATTATTCAGTTGTTAGCTAAAATTACTTACTTAGCATCATCTTATTCTAAA